ATTTCATTTTAAGATCTGATATATAGTCACTTTACATGTTTTTTTGATAGTCAGTCCCAGCGGGATTCACGCCAAGAAATGTATGAGACCAGATCAAATGAAATCAAATGTGAAATTCATGGTCTCAGCGGCCAGTCTAGGCTGCATTAATCATTCAGTCACCGGAGCAAAAAATAGAGCAGTTAAGTAATTATATTAGATCTTCACTGCAGAATTCAGACTGTATAAACTACTCTCAATCACACAGACAAGTGTTTTCAGCAAACCTGTCTTAAATTCAGTGAGTTATCTCATGTAGATATTCTTAGTGAGGTACTTATATAGATATATCATTACTATATTTACTTAACAGAGTATTTAACTGTGTTATACTACTATGATAGAAAGAATATAATTAGCAGTATCAGTGATAACAGAAGTATAAATCTCTTCTCTAAAACTCTTTCTAAGTTAGTTATTATAAATCACTTAATATAATTTTCTAAGAATATTATTAGAATCAGTATTTAGATTTATAAATCTATCTTTCTTAAGAAATACTTAATAGTCTGAAGTAATTAATTTATTCTTCAGAACATTGAATCTCAGAATTAAACTTCATATCTTATATCTCTTCAGATTAGTAATCTTGTATTGTATAAACTTCTTTTAGTAATCTTCTATTCTCTCTGATTAATATGTGGCATTCTTATAGAATTTCAGAAGACTACTTGTAACAGAGCTCAGAGTATAAGTAGTCAGTAATTTCACAAGCTGTAATTATGTAGAATTCAGATTATTAATGTTAGAAGCATCTTTATCATCAGTCAGATAAATATTAGGTCTCAGTTTAATAATATAATTAATAAGTACTATAGATGTAACAGCTGATTTTGATTTTTTAGTGATTAAGAATCTCATATCACTACTAATAATAACCTTGTCAGATTCAGAATTTCATAGATAATAGATTGATATATCACTGAATTCAATAATATAATAGAAATCAGTATATAAAGAAAGCTTATTCACAGGCTTCCGAGATTTATACGAGTAAATAAAGATCTCTGCACTTAATTAGTGAAAATGCCTCACATTCAGTGAGGTATTTGTAAGTGTATATTAAGAGATCTTATATAAGCTTGAAACCACAGAAGTCTCTGTAGTAAAGAGTTAAAATTTTGAGTTGTAAAGAACTGTAAATATAAGAGTATTATTAATTATTGTAATAACTGTCTCTAGAACATCTGTTCAAAACTTCTTAGAGAGATTAACTTTTATAAAAGCAGCTTTAACTCATTTCATGATAGTGTGAATCTCACACTTAGAAACATTATCTTGATGTGATAAATGTAGTATCATTGATTCTCATTTGATATTATATAAATTTATAGCCACATGCATATATGCAGACTGAAAAACACTGTTAATATCAGTCTGTAGAAAAGCAGGGACTGTATAACTAAGATTACTCATGAATCTGAGTCACAACTCAAAGTATTAAACAGTCTCATTCTTGAACTTTAAAAAATATACTCAATAGTAGTAAGTAATATCACAGATAATAAGTATTTAGTATTTAATTCTCTGATGAAACTCTAAGAAGTAATCAGAGAGATCTTTCAACATATATTTATTATCTACAAGATTAATATTGATCTTCTCAATGAGTTGAATAGATCTAAATATCAGTGTTTTCAAATAATCTCATGTTATACCTGTCTTAACACACTCTCTATAAAAGAACTTAGTTTTAGAATCTTTAATTATGACTTCAGTATGAGAATTCTTGACTATAGCAGTTATAGTATCAGTGTGAATATGACTGAGATTATAATACTAATTCAAAAGAGTCTTTCATATCTTTGATATCTGTGATTTCATATTTACAGAATCAATGTTATCAACAGTAGTAACAGTAGTGACAGAAAAATCAACTTTTTAGTCAAAATTATACTCATGAGATATCATAATATACTTGACTATCTTGTTCAAATGATTAGAATTCTCATTAAACTTCTGTTCAATAATCTTATAAATGTTATTCTGAGTAATCTGAACTGTGTGAAAAATAACATCATTCAGAGCTCTGCAAATGAAAAGTGAGAGAATAGTGAAAGATAATATAAATTAAAACCTCTGATTTTTAAGCTTTGTAAATGAGAGCAGATTAACTGTAATATTAGAAATATAGTGAACATTCTGCAAGTTAACATCATCACTCTCAATCTTCAAGATAACAGTTTCAATTCTCTTGATAAACTCAGTTTCTTCAGTCACAGAATTGACAGAGATGATATTATTAAAAGATTTGATATTTTAAAAAGAATGAAGCTCATCTACTATATTCAGATATACACATGTATTCAAATATCAAGATCTAGAGAATGGTTTTTCAGTGACTGTGAAAGAGAAATAGAACTCAATCTTTGTAATTACTGTATTTACTGCTGATTGAGAACTTATCAAGTCATTCTTCTTCTCTTTCTTTTTGTTATTATTCTTCTTATTCTTCTTCTTTCTTCTTTTGTCAGAGTGTAAGATGAAACACCTGTCAACTGTATATTTATCTCTTTCGCAGTGAGTGCACTTTCATATAACTGTGTCTTTATCCTTATCTTTGTTCTTTTTCACAGTCACAGAATCAGTCTGAGGCTGCTTTTTCAGCTCAGTGATGATGTTTCTGCATGTATAATTAATCAGTTAATTCATCAAATCATCAATATTAATGTTAATAATGAGTTCTTAGTAGACTGATTGTGTGACCGTGTCTGAGATCAGAATTAAACTTTACAGTTATTATATTACTTAAAAGTATTACTTCTGATTATAATTTATATTCATTACATTGATTTTAAATCATGTTATTTCAAATATTAAAGATCTCAGATTCACTTTTTAAATAAAAATCTAGTTCTAGATAAAGAATATGTTTAAATTCTTAGTTACATTTTCATTCTGATCTCATTATTGAGAATGATATTAAATGAGATTATAAAATCATTTCTCACTTACATAATATCATAATATAGTGCTCATTTGTTGAAAATTTAACAGAGAGTATTATCAAATATTATTACTTTTCTGAACACAAATCATAATTCATATAATTTTTTAATTATGAAAAAAATATAAAATATAAAAAAAATAAAAAATAAACAATAAAATAAAAACAAGAAAAAATCATAATGAAAAAAAAAGAGAAAGAAAAAAATTAAAAGAAAAGAAAAAAATAAAAAATAAAAATAAAAAAAATCACTCTTAAAATACTCATTTCTCAGAGTCTTTACAATGTTTATTATCAACTATATATTTCTCACAGTGAGAGTAACACAGCTGTAATGAGTTATTATCTTAACATTATCTAATAAATAATCAGTATATATCTGTATAAATGTGAATATTTAGAAAACATACACTTAAAAAGTGTGATCAGAGTGAACTCTGCTATCACTTGAATGATATCAAGAGCAGAATACTGAAATCAATGATTCTTCTCATTGATTTCATAGATAAGATAGATGAAGATAATCTTAAGAAATATAAGATTCTCTGACTTCTGATAAAAACAGATCTCACAGAGAGACTCTATTTTCATAATATCAGAGACTGAGTATTATTAAAAAGTGTTACTTTTATATAATATATATGTACTTACTGCAGTAATTCATTCTCTGTGTATATAACTAAGAGTTATAACTTTTTCACACTGCACAGCTCTCTCTGAGATGCTGTCATTAGTTTACAACTTATACAGTCTCTCAGTTCAGTACATACTGTGTGTATACAGCTCTGCATGCTGAGACTGTGTTGATTATTATGATCTGATGTGATACTTGCTTTTCACAGATCATGTTTTGTTTAAAGAGAGAGAAAAGATGCAACTGTTATTTTATTAAGAGAGAAATAAATAATTAGTATTATTGAATATAATTTAGTTTATCTGTATTTAAAATTTGATTAGTCTATACTCTTTAATTTGAGGGTTTCTAAGAGTGTTTTAATAGTTTTCATATCAGCTTGAACTTAGTGATGAGTTGAAGAAGAAGAGAAAAGAGAGAAGAAAGAAATAAGAATAACTTATCTTTATAATATGAAAACAGAGAGTTGCTGTAATCATTCTTTCTAGTAATAAAGATCTATTTTCTGTATGTATCTTTAATATAGATTATATGATAACTGTATATAAAGAATATCAATAGTGTATGTATTAAATGAAGATAATATTACTATGCAACACTGTAACTGTTTCTGTATATCTCTAAAAGCTGTTAATAGATTCTTTATCTCTTTATATTTGATAAGTTAATAATATATTCTGATACACTTCTTCTTTCATCATTATTATCATTATTATTATCATTATTATCATCATTATTATCATTATTATCATTATTATCATTATTATTATCATTATTATTATTATATCATTACTAGCTGTCTTCTCTGTCTTTACTCTCTTTTAACACTTATTAAAATTAATCATGTCATCTCTCTTTAAATATTCTGTGATTCTGTGAATCATCAAGACGCGTGAGCGCTGTCACAGATTGAAGAAAGAGAAGAAGAAGGCATTTAAGTGCAGAGAGACAGATTGTAAGACATGTTATAATATCTTAAAGAGACTTTATAAGAGAGTAGAATAATAATAATTTTAAGTAACACTTCTGATAGATTTAGACTGAACTAAGTATAGAAATAATATACATGACATTATCTATGAGAGATTGAAAAAGAAGATAATAAAGAGTTTTATATAGTAGTAATAAGATCAGAAGAAGTTCTGAGAATGATTTAAGATCAAGATAAAGAGAGAGAGAGAGAAGAAGAGTATTACTGTAAATAAGTAATAGTAGAAGAAGATTAAGAAGATATTAAAGTAAGAGACAAAGAAGTCAAAACTGATAAGTTTTTTATTAAGAGATAATAATTTTTGATAATACTTCTATTCTCTAATTGATTAGTAGAAGCTGATAGAGAAGAAGAAAATTAAGATCTTATTCAGGTCTTGAATACACTTCATGATTCAGAATATTGAGAAGACAGCTCTACTCTCTGAGCATGTTAATCTGCTTACTGCTGAGATGAAATCTGAGACAGCAGATCAGAAAATACAGGATTTTAAGACACAGATTAATCTAGCTAAAGAGAAGCAGCAGAAACTCTTCTCTGAGAAAGCAGCAGAGAGAGATTTTAAGATAATTATTATCTTAGATAAGAAGAAGAAGAAGAAGAATAAGAATGAGAAATAAATCATGAAGAATAATAAGAAGAATGAGAAAGAGAAGAAAGATAATAAGTAGAAAAAGTTTTTTTCTTTTTATATTAGTTAGTTATAAGTTTGTAACTATTAGTTAATAATTGAAATTAATTTTAAGTTTTTAAAAATTATTGTACAAGTTATAATTAATTATCAATATCAGAAATAATATATATATATATATTCAACTATTCTGTCACTATAATATATAAGTATCAACATTTTTTCAATATTCATATTTATAATATTAATATATTATTAATAATATTATTTAATAATATAATTTAATAACACTCTCTTTCATAATATTAATATATTTTAAGAAATATGACAGAGAGTAATCAAGATTATTTATTTACTTTTATACATTGATAATATTCAATCTGAGTTAGTACTAAAATTATAACTAAGCTAAGAAAGAAGATTATTTTCTCTTATATTAATTCTTCTTACATATATCAGTGATCAGTTATTGAAAATAAATTATTATCTTTCTTAAATTATTATGATATCTTCTGAATTCACTTCTTTCACTTCTTTTACTTTTATTGAAGATTTATAAACTCTTTAAGAAATCACTGTGAATTACAAAGTCTATATTATTTACAATTCAATACAGAATACTCTCTTTCAATTATAATAAATAATCACTTTATTCTTCATATCTGATTTCAGGTTATGAAATTTATGAAAAACTTAACATAAACACTGAGATGAACTATGAAATAATTATTAACAGATTATATTATAGATTACTGAAGAGTTATCTCTCTACTGTAATTACTGTAACTTTATTCAGAAATATTTATTATAAACTGATTATAACTCTGAAGAAATTTCTCAACATCTGAAGTTATTAGAATGCAGATAATAAAAGAAAAATAATTAGAAAATTACTACTGAGCTGATAAGTTACTCTATCAGATAATAATTTTTGATAACACTAACTTTCTAATTTGAAGAAAATCATATAAAAATGACTGTGTATCAGTACTCTGATTTCATAACTCTTATCTGATAACTTCTGTGAATAATTACTTTGTATGTGTATATCTCTGAATCTTTCTCTTTAATTAATTGAAAATTCTGAATTCTAAACACTTGTTCAAATACTTAATTCAAATCTTCATATTTCACATCAATTCTGTCTTTGATTCAATCTTGAGATATATTACAAAGTTAATATACAATATCTAGAATCAGAGTTGAAGAATTATTGAAGAGTATCTCTCACAGTGAATGTATAAACTAGTATAAATAATCTTATATTTATAAGAGTTACATGTTATTACATTGATGAGAACTGAATATATTAAGAGACATTAATTGAATTTGAATCATTGATCAGTAGTCATACTGAGAATTATATAGCAGAGATATTAATGACTGTGATTAAAAATAACTATTAAGATATTAGTCTCAGTCTTCTTATAATAACTGATAATACTGTGAATAACTATACTATGATGAAGAGCTTGAAGCAAAAATTGACTTTGTATTTCTGAAATAATAAATAAGGTCATATTCTCTGTATTACTCATATGATTCAACTTGTGATATAAATACTGATAAAGATTCTTAATATCAAGATGAAGAATAATGAGATAACTGATTCTTGAGATGAGAATGAGATGAAAGTGATTACTTAAGTAACTTTTATATTCACTTTATAAAAGATAATGTTTTTTAATAATATTTTTTAATATTACTTTTTAGTAATGCTTTTTGATAACACTACTGTTAATTTTGAATAGATTGATTAATAATTTAAATATCATAGATTTCGAGCATTGCTAATACAATTTGTATCTCTTCTAAATAATAATAATAATTTCATGATATTCAATAAATAAATAAATCAGTCATATCACTGAATACAATACAGAATATTAAAATACAGTGAAGTTTAATATATAAGATAACTGTTCAGACTCTTTAATTATATCAGATAATTAATTATTGAATACAACACTCTGATCAGAAAAAGATTCAGATATTAAAACTTTCTAATATAAAGTAAACTCAGTTGAAATATATGATTGATTTACTGTTTCAGTTTTATAAGATAATAAAGACAGTCTCAATGACTTATACATCAATACTGCAGTTAGTCTGATGAGTGTATAATAGTTTATTTACTCATGTTAAGAAGCAGTTAAATCACTTAAAAAGAAATTCAGTCTGAGATAATACTATAGCACAGACTATTATTACTGTAAGAAATAAACTAGTATATTACTATAGCAAAACTGAACAATCTTTTACAGAGTATTATACTGTAGTAGCTCTACTAGATCTCTCTTATCAAGTTAATATCTACACTTCTCAAGATTGAACAGAGGAGAAATAAGACTTATATATTAAATTAATCTGAGACTACTATAATGTCAACTATCAGAGATCTAAATGAGCAGATATTAAAGATATGAAGACAGTGAAATACAATTCT